GGCTTTGGGCATGTTTTTTATGAAAGTATAACATTATATAAAACTAAAAAAAGTTGATTTTACATGATATTGCCCCTTTAAAGGCTAGTTAAAATAAAAGTATAATAAGTGAAAAAAAATTAATCAATTAGCCTAACTGATGTGTTATTCAGTAAAATAGTGAATGCCTTCTTAAGTAAATGTTGTGCTGTATGAGCTCGCTAAGCTAGCTTTCAAAGTTTTTCTAATGTGTTAAATAACGTTAGAAATTTTTTAATTAAATATTTATACTACACAAAATTGCTATAAATTTAGCCCCTTTTTAAACCATATTTTATACAACTGAGGCTGAAACGATGACAAAGCAGCCTTTATTACTTTATGCTCCAGAAAATCAAAACAATAAATTTAATCTGACTTACGCTGTTCATATCAGTGAGATAACTAAACAGCATTAAGAGAAAAACAAGTTATGGGTAAACCTTAGCCAGGCTCAGCATGTTCTTCCTCTGTCTTTTGATATTTTGTAAATGTGAAMGTTTGTCACCACCTAGTGGAACAGTATGGGCTTTACAACCTTTTTGTTAAAATGTTGAAGATTAAGAAAATAAATTAGGCTTAGTGGTGTAACCAGGGCCTTAGATTACAGCTATAAATATGTATTAATAGGACTTTACTAAAAGTAGAGCATGATTCCCACTAAGTCTGCTGTCATTTTCCCAATGATGGCTTAATAGCTAAATATTGTCATCAAAGGTTGGTAAGGCTGCTGTATTTTTTGTRGCATCGGAGCAAAAACAAAGGTTTAATTTTTGCTTCTAAATATAGAAGAAGCTGTGATATTTAAACACTCAGGGTTTTGTTTGCCAGCAGATTCTGCAGCTTCTGGACACACATGACCAACTCTGATTAGCAACGACTGCTCCTGCTCTCCACATGTATGTGATGCAGTTTTTATTTTTTGTATTTTTTGTGACCCACTCTCCAGGTGGACCGCATGTCCTTCCCCTGCGGCTGCACCAAGGAGGGCTGCAGCAACAGCACCGGCCGGCTGGAGTTCAACCCAGTCCGGGTGCGCACCCACTTCCTGCACACCATCATGAAGCTGGAGCTGGAGAGGAGCCACGACGAGCAGTATCAGCACCGGCAGACGGAGCCGCAGCTCGTAACCAACGGCAACGGTTACCATGGCGACCCCGCCTTCATCCCACAGCAGCAGCAGCCGAACCCACAGTCCGTGCCGCTGCACGAACCCATCATGCAGCTCCAGAGCACTGGAGATACAGAGCTGCATCTGGAGGAGGAGGAGGAGGAGGATGAGGAGGAAGATGAGGAGGAAGAGGACGATGATGATGATGAAGATGATGATGACGAAGAGGAGGATGAAGCCTATGATGAAGATGGCAGCAGCGTTTGCAGCGGGCTGTCGGATTGCAGCACACACAGCTTGGAAACTCTCGACCCCGAGGAGGGAGAGGACGATGATGACGACGAGGAAGATGATGAGGAAGAGGAGGAGGAGGAAGAGGAGGAGGACTGGGACTGTTCAGTGCACGGTCTGAGTCCTCCGCCTTACCCTGTGCCCCTCCCATCTGTCCTGAGTTACTCTAACAGCACACTGGTGAGCCTCAGCAGCCCCTTCCACAACACGTCCCCCATGCAGCCCTACCACACAGAGAGCTCCGCCCACGACCTCCCGGCRTTCCTCGGCGAGAGCCTGAACCCCGCCCCCATCCTCCCCTCTGTAGAGTCCGCCCTGGAGTCCGACATGGGCAGAGAGCTCAAGCGCCAAGCCGAGCAGCAGGGTGCTCCCCTGCGCTTCTCTGAGTCCCCGACGCTCCACACCTGTGAGTTCGCCACCTCCCTCACCTCCGTGGAGCAGCCCCGCCCGCTCCAGAATAATCCGGACCGCTGTGACGCACAAACAGGGGGCACGGGAGCACCTGCAGAGGAGCAGCCGGGACTGCAGAAGGACGGAGGTGCCGATCAAACCACATCAGAGAATGTCTGATGGGCAAGATGAGTCAAGAATTCAAACAAGAAGTGCACTTGAAGAGAGTCACACATTTTC